ATCACTGTCACTCAGAGCCCATGGTGGATGGATGTTCCATCTTGATGTCTGTTTCCACAATTATCAAGACAGAAAAAAGGGGGACTCGTATAGAGAAACAGCAACTAAATACTCCTGCCCAAAAGTAATTCATGTCTCTTGCTCACATTCGTTTGGCAAAAGCCAGTCACTTGGCCACATATTAGCTTCAACGTGGTGGAAAAATGCAATCTACCATGCGCATGTTCCAGGAGAACTAAAATATTTGTTAATAGCCCAAGGACCATGTACCCTAATCATCACCACAGAAGGGCATGCTCTGGCTGGTGGATGTCACTGACATTCTGTTTATAAAGAATGACTATTAAGAGCTACCATGAACTGAGCATCTATTATCTAATAGGTATTGTGCCAGGTACTTTGCATGTGTATGCCAGTTAGTCCTCCCAAGGAGGTCTTAATAACCTCCATGTTATAATGTGGAAACTGAGGCTCAGGGAGGTTCACTTTCAAGGGCTTAATAGTATCAAGGATAGCATGAATATAGGGTGCACAGGTTTTCTGGATTTACATGGATATCTGTCAAAAAGAACAGTGCATTAAGAGGCTACCGAGACTGATTTCTAGTCCCACTTCCTAATTTTTAAAGTCTGAGCACATGCCAGGATGGCAAACAGGTCTTGCGCGTCAACTCTGACAGATGTGCCTTGGTTGCTGGAGAACTGTGATGAGAAGGCTCTCAGATGGGAAAGAGTCATGTGACTGATTAAGAACGTCTGCTCTGGGCAGAGGAAAGCGGTGGCAGCCTGGGAAACAGATGTTTGCCATCTCTGGGCATTTTTTTTTAACCTCTCTGGGTTTCAGTTATATCACTTATAAAACAAGGTTAATAAAACCTTACCTGAGTGAAGGTAGGAGCCTGGCCAAGATGATTTCTTGATGTCCTCAGAGGGCACCAAAACTTCAGTTTCTAGGTGCATGTATTCCAACTTATTTTATGCATATTGTTCCACCATGTGGTCATGAAAATCCATTAGTACGTGTGGGATTGGGCTGGGGAAGGGAACCCAACAGACTGAGTCATTGAAAACTGCTCCGAAGGAGAGCAGAGCTGGAGGCCTTTGACAGGAAAGATGAATCATTTATTGGCACTTAAGGGTGCCAGTCATTACTGCCCTACCAAGCACACATCTGTGAGCTGGATATGCCTCTTGGTCTACAAATCCAAAGGCTGGGTTTCTCAGTCTGGGTGATATGTTGGGGAGGCATGCATCTTCAGATAAACATGCCTCATACTTTTGGTGGTGATTTGAGGAATACAAGCAATACATTTTTCTTAAGGTAGACATGATATACTAATCAGGATCCCAGTGGGAAATAGATAGCACACTCAAAGGGTTTATGCAAAGAGATTTTAATAAAGATTACAGAGGTGTGGTCAGGATCAAGGGAACAACAAGGGATGGCGTGATCTGCAGCGACTAGCAACAGCGAGGCCATTACCATTCACAGGCTAAAAGGGACACAGGAGGGAAAGGTGTTACCAGGACCTGTGTGTGCTATGGCCAAACGGAGCCATGGCTGTAGGAACTCAGCTGCTGTGCTACCCAGACTACTGTCACACAGGGAGGGGGGGGAGTAGACACAGGGATGTTCTCTCCTCTCACCCGCTGATACCCTGCCAGAGGGCAAGGGAGCCTGGGTGGTAGAGACATGAAAGACAGAGCCTTTGGACGAGGCAGCAGGGCAGAGAAGTGTGAATAATGGCTCTGGAAGGACACATGGAGAAGGCCCAGCACACAGGAATAGATACTGGATACAGAATATACATAGAATTCACATGAGTTTAAAGAGGCCACATCACAGGTGAATGAGGAGGGAAGGGGGAGCACTGTGGTGAGAGAAGCACATTCATCTTGTTTTTGGGGGCCAGGGCATCAGCGTGGGAGAAGGGAATTTGAAGCTCAGCAAAACTTAAACCTATTTTCCTGGACTTAGAATCTTTGGGAACATGTGGTGTTTTGTTTTAGGTGATAACCTAATGTTTTCCCTCTATTTTAAGAAAGGTTTCTCGTGAACCTGTCTGCTTACATCCTTGAAATGGAGGTAAAATAAGGGAAGTGTTTTGGTCCATTTTGGGTTAGAAGTTTATGTAGATGGTATATGGCCTTGAACTGGCACAAGTGAGGGAGCCCCAAAGTCCCTCAGGGTAAAAGTTGGGACCCACTTAAATGATGGAGATGGTCCTTTTAGAGCCCTTCGTTGTTGTGCTGGCTTTGGAAGATTTTATCTTCTTTAAGAAAGGAGACCATTCTATCCCACCAGTCGAATTGACAACCTCTGCTTCCAAGGCTGTCTGTGTTATCCTGGAAATCCATCCCAGCTTCCAGGCCAGAACCGGGGGGGGGGGGGGGGTGGTGGGAGGGTGGGGAATGGACACGACACGGGACAGGGACAGACACACAGACGACACACGGGGGGCATGGGGGGGAGACAGGGACATGACACTGTCAGGTTTTCTTCTTCTTTTCTCAGAGCCACTTCCCCACAAAAAGCCAAATACCCTTCCTAATCTTGGAGCAGATGCCTCCGTAAGGACAGAAGAAAGGCTTACAACTGCATTGCCCAGTATGGCAGCCTGAAGCCACATGTGACCATTTAAATTTTAAATGAAATTAAAATTAAATAAAATAAAAAAGTTTAGTTCCTGAATCACACTACTCGCATTTCAGGTGCTCAGTAGTCACACATAGCTATATTGTGTTAGTGCATAATGTTTCCATCATTACAGAGAGTTCTATTGGACAGACGGGTCTAGATCCTCATGCATGGCCCTGGATGGGCTAGGGCGCCGGCAACAGCATTCAACAACTGTCTTCACCCACAGAATTCTCTCCTTGATGACAAGTGAATATCTGGGCTTGTCTGGTTTTCCTGTGCAGCCAGCAAATTACTAATGATGACGATAATTGCAGCCCACATTTATTTAGTCCTTAACATGAGTCAAACAGTGTGCTAAGGTTTTATAATACATTATGTCGTTTAATTACTACCACAACCCTGAGGAAGACACTATTATTATCTCCATTTTAACAATGCAGAAACTGAGGCTCAGAGAAATTAAGTGACTATACAACTATTGGGTAATACCATACGAAACTGCCAATATTCAGCTGTGTTTGATGGTTCAACCTCATAGTAAATGGCAGAGCCTGGTTTCAAATGCAGGTCCAAAGACCACATCCAGTTCCATGTGGCTAAGGCTCTGTAAGTGACTACCTTGAAACCTACTTCAGAGGGCGTTTGAAGGATTAAATGAAATTATGTTGGTTCTGTGCCTGGTCCACAGAGGGGCTCCTGGAACGTTAGTTCTTTCTGTTTTAACTTTCGTCTGTCTGTCATTCTCATGCTCTTGGGAGGCAGAGCACAGTGTCTGAGCAGATGTGGTCAGTGAGATTGGGAGGAAGAGGCCACTGCCATTTACCAGATCCCCTACCAGGGACCTGGAAGAGTTCATCTTCCTCACCAAGACCCCATCCTTCCGCCCACCAGTCCCCACACCTCTCTCTCAGGAGTCTCTACTGCTGGGCAGATCTGGGTCATTCTCTCTGGGCATTCAGCAGAGAGAGGGGTGATAGACACTGGCCCCTTCTATTCCCTGTGCCTTCACAGCCCCAGCAGATGTACTTCATCAACAGACCTCTCCCCTGGAGATCTTAGAAGGAGTCGGAAGGCTGGAGGTGGACCGGAAGGGGCTGCTGCTGCACTGAGCAGGTCAGCTGGTTCTCTAAGCAGTGCTCCAGACCTCCTGCGTGTTATAACTCTGTCTTCATGATTGTTTCTGGCCAGGAGCCTGACTGCAAATTCTTCCCTCTTTTATTTGGCAAGAGGGGAGAGAAGCTCCCCTTGGCTGAGGGTCCTGCTATTTGAGTAGGGTTTTAGGACTTGCGGGTTGTTTCCATCCATATGAGGAACACTTGTCTCTCCAAAGCAATAGTATAGGGTTGCCGGATTCAGCAAATGAAAATACAGGACGCCCGGTTAAATGTGAATCACAGATAAACAACAGAAAATCTTTTAGTAGGCAAGAGCCTTGGGGATCAGACAGACCTGGGCTTGAAGCCCACCATTTATTGATTGTGTCAACTTGGCTGAATTACTTAACCTCTCTGAGCCTCTGTTTCTTCCTAAAACAAAAAGGAATATAATACCTTATTTAGGGATGCATTAAGGATTAAATGAAGTTATAAAATACAACCCACTGGGCTGTCGTGTAAGAACGCACAAAACAATCACTCATTTTTACAACACAAGTGTAGGTCCAGTCACACCTGAGACAAATTTGATGGTGAGCATGGCAAAAACCCTTGGAACTGGAGCAATCTCCATTTGCTCAGTTCAAATGAGCCTTTAACTTCAGGACCTCAATTTCCAGTAGTCCTATGGAGGGAGGGAGGAATTCTGAGGAAAAGGGGGGCAGGGAGAGAAAGGACCAACGTCCTGTGGGAACTGGTTTTCTGACCCAGAAACAGAAGGAGCCGAGAGTGGAGGCCACGTCGACTCAATTCCCTTTGCTCAGTGGTCAGCCCAGAACAGTTGTCCAAAAGGCAGGGTTTTTTGGTTTATTTTTTTCATGGAAAGGCGTGGGAAAGGAGGCCCTGAGGGGTGAGGACATGCGGGGGCTCCCATCAAAGGAGGGAGAAGTGGCTCACTTTGGCATGTTTCACAGGTCAAGTCTTGGGGCTCCCATATTAAATCTATGCCAGGGTTTCTCAGTTTTGGCTTTACTGACAGTTTGGGTCATATACTTCTTTGTTATGGGGCTGTCCTGTGCATGTTTAGCTGTAGGCCTCTACCTACCAGATGCCAGTCACCCCTCTCATCCTCCCTCAAAATGCTGACAATCAAAAACCTCTCCAGACCCTGCCAAATGGGCCCCAGGGTGGGCGAGGAGGGATGACAAAATCTCCTAGGGTTGAGAACCACCTGTCTAAAGAATCTACTAGCCAACACTCAAACCATTTTATTAGCTACCATTTATTGAGAATTTATAAATATTATCTCCAATTGCCATGCTCATATTACAAGGTAGGTCTTATTACCTACATTTAATAGTTGAAGAAATAGATAAATTAACTTGCCCCAAATCCTACAGCTGGTAGACCTGGGCTTCTGACCAAGGCTGGTCCAACTCCAAAGCTCATACCGCTCCTGCTGCCACGCTCCCTCTCTCTGGAAAATCAAGGACTTTTTTTCCTTTAAAATGTAAGGAAATTCTTCTCAAGTCAACTCAAGTCCAAAAATATTGATTGAGAAGCCATGAGAAGCTACAAGAGAAATCTAAGATGTTGCTCCTCTCAAGGAGTTTTCACTATCAAGGTCATTGAGGAGGTCAAGACTCTCACACAAAACAGTTAAAGAGCAGCACAAGGCAGTGGGAGTTTGGGCCAAAACGAACATTTTTAGAGTTAGAACTTTGTGAACCGAATGCCCTTTGTGTATGTCTGCTTCGTGTGTCCTTTCACTGCCAATCTTAATAATAAAAAAAAAGAAGGAGAAATGGAGCCTTGAAGTTCACGGGATCTACCAGCCACGCATCTTAGGAAATTAATTCTCTCGCCTTGAGGTGGGCTGGGGGTTGCTTCCAGCCAAACACTCAGCCATCTTCTTTCTGGCTCTCTGCACGAAGTCCACCTTTCCCCTTTCCTTTCGGATGGCGGTGTACTCATAAGCCTTGAGCTTGCTGTAGTAATCGGAGAACTTGTTGTAGAGGATGGAAATGGGCATCCCGTTGAGGATGATCCCAAAAGCAATGCAGAGGAAGGCAAAAAGCCTGCCTAGGTGGGTCTCTGGGTACATGTCTCCATAGCCCACAGTGGAGATGCTCACCTGTTGAGGAAGGAAAGCAGGATGGAACTGTTAGCATCATGAGGGAGGAGAAGAAAGGGAGAGAACCAAGCAGGGAAGTGTCTTCTGTCTCCTTGAAGGTGCACGTGGGTCATGTAACAGCTCACCATGGAGCCACCTTTTGGAGGTTCCAGAAAGTCTGCCTGCAGGACCTGTGTCATGGAAAGAACACAAGCTTTGAAGCTGAAAGACTTGGGTTTAAATCCTATCACTTACAAATTTTCTTATATACAATACAAGGAAGATAATACCTTTTTTAAATATGAAGAGCATATAAGATAACATGTGTAAAGTTCTTGGTGTCAAATGGGCTCCATAAATGTAGGTCTTTGTCTCTCCTCTGCTGGGCACCTTTAGGATGGGGGTCCCTGGGTTTGCCTACATGATATGTGTACTGGAAAGAGCTTAGAACCAGCCAGAGCTGACTCTGCCTTTTCCCTGCTGAGTGACCTTGGGCAAAACATTCAGTCTCTAAGCCTTGGTTCCTCCATCTAAAACGGGAGCATAGTACTTAACTCTCAGAATTCTCGTGAAGACTAACTAAGAAAATGAATATAAAATGCTTAACACAGTATCAGGCACACAAAAGGCATTAACTTCCTCTATTGTCCTTCTCTCTTCTTTAAAATGAAGACGATTGTAATAATTCTCAGGGTTGTTACTAGTTCAAATGAGAGTGTATGCAAAGGTGCTTTAACTGAACGCCTGGAGGAACACACTCTCATTATTTTGCGAAGGGATTTTTGTAAGACATCACTGACCAAAAAATATGTTCACCTTGCGTGAAATTCTTCCCATCACTCTTGTCACACTGCTTTAAATTCCACTAATTAGAGATTTATTTAGGTTAACAAGCTTCTGTTTTAAAATGCAGATACCCTTGGGGCTACTTATCAGTCAGTGTAGCCAGAGAAAACCGGGAAAACCTCCCAGGGCCTGTATTTTACGGCTCATGTACTAAGACTCCCTTTGGTCCCCAGACTGTTGGTGAAATTACTAGAAGTCTTTTAGGCAGGGCAGTTGATCACAGTTGAAAAAATGGTGCGTTGTACAAATCCAGGGGGCACTGTTCACTTCATTGATTTGCATTGTTGTTGCCACAACCTTCCAGCAGGCGGTCGTAAAAGGTACAAAGTCATTCTGTTGGCCCATACCAAGAAGGCCTATAGCTTAGAAATTTAAACCTTGTTTTGATGATGTAGGGGTTAGTCTGAACTTCAAATAAGGATGACTGGTTAATTAAAATGAAATGGAGAAGTGGGCCAGCTGGGCAAGTCCGGTGGGGCTGATAAGAACCACAGCTCCATCCAGCCCATAAAAAGAAAGCTTGCACCTCCTCTTTGGGGTGGGTGATGCACCACCTCTCCCTGCTCCATCTCCGGTGAGAGACCTGTTGACGGATGGGCTGCCCCAACAAGGTGGAGGAACACAAGCAAGCATCTAAGAGAGGCAGGATGGTGTAGACGAGGTGAAGGAAACAGGAATGGCTCTAGGCTCTGTGGGTCTGAATCGACTTCCCAGCTGTGTGACTTGGGCCAGTCACCTAACTTCTTTCTGTTTCCATTTCTACTTTTGAAATGCAGGGAGAATAATAGTACCTACCTCATAGGGTTGTTTTGGGAATTGCAGGAGTGCCTGGCCCAGGGTGTGTGAACGATAATGTTAGTTCCTCTACTTATGAGACCAACAGGCCATGGGAACAGGCTCCTCCCTGGCTCCTGCTGAATGCTGTGTGAGGGAGATTGAGCGGGATGCACTCTAGCTCCATTAGAGAATCTCCTTTTCCTACCTTGTGGACCAAAGGGTGATGAGAGGCAGTGATAAAGTGGGACTGTGGGTTAATCTCAAAGTATGCTTGCCTTCATGTGTTTCTTGTCACTGGCCACACCAAAAGGAAAAGAACATGAGTCAGACTTTGTCCAGGTGTGTGAAGTGAACAACAGTTTTCATACGTCACTAACACCATCACTCACACCTCTGTGGGACTGTTTAGTCAGTCTACTTTCCCTGGAGGAGGCCTAAAGGGGGTTGGATATAGGGGTGAATGACTTGAAGGGGTACTTTCAGAACAGGAAGCATCCATTTAAGGCCAGCAGAGGCTTTGAGGTAAACCAGCCCCTCAAAGGTGCAAGATTGGGGGGGGGGGGGGAGGCTGGGAGGATACAGAGGAAGGAAAATAACTGAGACAAAGCACCGATTTTAAACTTCTGCTCAATCCCCACACTGGCTTTGCTTCACTCCCAACCCCAACTTCATTTTTTTGGGTTGAACTTTGAGTGAAAAGTCAACAGCAGAGAGAATTGGCTTAAGGAAGATGAAATATTTGATGTCCATAATATGATCTAAAGATTTTTGTTTATCTTGGATCTCTATTTTTAGAGAAAAGATCTCTGCTGCTCAGAGGCTCTGTATGACTGGTCCTGAAGAATCTGTTCAAAATGCATAGCTAATTTATGCATTGTCTGCATTGTGGATAATTTGACTCAACTAGTGATCTGGTTCTTGGTCCTTGGCTCCCAGAGGAACTCAGGATTCCTTGACTTTAGGGTACTTTTTCTCCACGTTCTACAGGCCAAATCTTTTCTCCCTGGATGCGCATTAAAGATCGAAGGCCCCAGAGTGGCCGACGTGACTTCACAGTGAGTTCTCAAATTAGTAGGAGTTGGGTTTGGAAATGTGACCAATATTTCTACAATCCATCTTAATATCCTGAAAAAACTGGCTGGTTCAGCCACTCTGTAAACTGGAAACTTACCATTCCGTTGAAAACTTACATATTTTCCCTAGCCTTTGGGTCCCAAAAGCCAGAATGTGACCTTCCCCTCAGCAGCTCACCCATTAATCAGCAAATGCTGGCCTGCTAGACATTACAAGGAGGACAAGGATCCAGTTCTTCTCTGAAACTTTAGAATGACTATACTTGAATTTCTCCTTCAACAAGGAATGTTTGTTTCCTTGATAATGAACTAGGCAGAGATTAAATCTTGGCACCCAGTAATCCATACATCTAGGAATTATGATCCCAGGGAATAAAACTGAGTTTTAAAAATAATTAACACCCCTTCTAGTGTTCCCAAAGAACTTGAGGTGGTAAAGACTAATGTTTTCTGGCTAACAGTATTGCATACCTCACTCATGTTGTCCTTTAAAGGATTTAGCTTCAAAGGCTATACTTAGCCTATCCATGCTGCTGTTGCCACAAATATTTTAGGAATTCCTCTTTGGGATTATAATCTGCACAGAGGATTCAGAGGCATGACCTTCAAACAAGTAGTCTTATTTACCTTGAGGGTTACCTCTGGGTGCCAATCTTAAACTCAAGGGTCTTGAGTTAAAATATTGAATCCATCCTCAAAAAGGGAAAGATTGAGCACCATTACAAAGAGGCAAATGGACATGTCACAGGCTCTGAAGATAATTCCTCAGTGGAATTCGAAGAATGTTTTGATCAGTGGAAGCACTGTTAGAATGAGGTCATGGGTGACCACCTTGAAGAGAACAACCAGGTATATTAAAGTTCTGACATGCATATAAATTGTACAATAAGGAGGTGTGCAAAAGCTAAGACAAGTTTGGGGTCTATTAATTTGTCCACAGAAAGGTATGCAATAATGACGATGCCCTCTGCATCCTCAGCTTACTTGGCACAACTCCCTGCCCTCTACAGTTCAGTCATGTCCCCCTCAGGTCATACTGGCCAACAGGAGAAGCATAGTTTAAAGAGATAAAATGGGACCACTCCAAATCAGGAGTGCACAAGATCAAAAGTGATTAAAAAAAAAAAAAAAAAAAAAGAAGAAGCCTAATAGCCTTTGCCCCACTTATGGCTCCTGTGCTGTTTCTGAAGCAGCTAGGAGAACTTTAATGCCTTCTATGCCAGACATTTACCCAGCGTCTCTCAGTCTAAGCCTGACACTCTTCTGTACTCTGTGCTGTAATTCTGCTGCTGGGAGTCTGCAAACTACAATTCCCAGATTCCCTTGCCTGCTGTCTTCTGGTTATGTTCTGCCAATGAGAGACACTGTTCGGAGACTGGAATGTGGGATGAGAGATAAGAGTCTCTCTTCCCCCTTCTGGTTTCTGTCATCATCCTCCAAAAACAGCAGACAGTGATGGCTCAGGCATCATGACACCAACCTCATAGTGTCATCTTAGGGGGCCCTGCAACAGCTAAACAGGAATTCCATCTCTGTCCTCCTAGATTCTGGTAACTCTATCTTCTGTTTGTTCCCCCAATTCTAGGGCCGACATCTCTTTCTTACAGTAACCAATCTTTGGGTTATTTCAGTTTGCCTTTTTGTTCCTCCAGCCTTCTAACACCTATATATCTATCTCCCTTATCAAATTCCTTTTGTTTAAAATATCTATCTTTTTTTTTTCTGTTTTCCTGACTGTAATCTGACTGATTCACCTTCCAAATGGGTCTTATCAAAGCAAGCAAGCAATCAACAAAAATAAAGTAAAATAAATCTCAGTGAATTTGTAAGTCCCACCTATTTGCAAGGAAATAATAACATACTTTAGGTAAACATATCAAGATAGGAACATGGTCTCTGGGCACAATTATCTGATGATAAATTTTCTTTTTGTAGAGTTTTTGAAGGAATGAGTTCATGACACAGTTTCCTGTTTGATTTCTACAGCTTTAAGTTGCTCTAGAAGGCCCAGAAAGAAATAGTCTATTGAACAGTTTAATTGTCCTTTTCTACTTAAAAACATAGCCATACCGGAGGCCAATGATTACAGCTTCATCACAGAGCTAATTGTTCCTGTTGAGTTGTGCCGTGCATTTCCCACACCCAGGCAACTGGAGAGCCCAACACGCCTGGAGCTGCTCCAGGCGTGGGCCTGTTGATCTGGACACTCGGAAGGTCTCCCAAGATAGAACAGCTGACCCTTTTGTATGTTAGACAGACTCTCTCTTTTTCCCAGTAGAGAAGGAATCACTTCTATTTTCCCAAAAATGAATCTGGAAGCAAAGGTTATTGCTTCCATGTGATAAAGACTATCAACTTGTCAGATATGGTAGCCTCTATTTATTGCAGATGTCCTACAGGCTAGTATTTTACATATGTTTCCTATTAGTGCTTACAAATGACCTCTATCTGACAGACGAGTAGGACAGGACTATCTGCTATCCTAACACAGGAGCACGTGCAGACATGAGCGTCCACAAGGGATTTGTTTTGCAGCTGGAAGAGAATTCACAATAATGAATATTACTGTATTCCTCCTAAAACCCTGAGTTGAATGACAGAGGAAGGCTGCAGGATCTTGGCATAGAGAGACGGAAGATTATTAAAAGCAAGTCAGATTTTGGAATTGTCTGAAAGTACTAAAAACACATGGAAGAAAAGATTAGAGAATGTGTCTCTAATGTGGGTGAATATATCCCAAGGGAGACAGCAGAGGGGTGGTGCAAGAACATAGCAATCATATTTTTCTTTCCCTCATCTTTAATTTGCAATGTGTGGGGGTATGTTTTCTGATGTGTATAGTATATTTGAGCAGCAATATCTTACTGCAGTAGAATGACCGTATTACTGGACCCATTCTTTACAGCTTCCTCTATCCTAGCTCTTTGCCACACAACTTTGCAGTGCTTTCCTACCATGAGTGGGCCAACCCACTCTGCCCTTTGACTGTGACTTTGCTCTTGTGACTTGCTTTGGCCAACGGGTTGAACAAATGACAGGAACAGAAGCTTCTACAGTGCTTGCATGATTGGACTTGTACTCTCTCACTTGCCCTTTGCCTTGGCCATGGATTCATGCCTGCTGGAGGACATGTGGTCTAGTCTCCCCTTCATCCTAGCTATCAATCAGCTGACCATCAGACATGTGAGTGACTGGCACCAGCCCAAATGGGAAGAACGTTCTAGTTGAAACTAGCCTAAATTGCAGACTTGCAAACTCATGAGCTAAATAAATGCTTGACAATTAAGCCATTGAGTTTTAGGGTTGTTTGTGATACATCATTATTATAGCAATAAATAACATAATTTATGAATAACTAAACACGTATTTATCATGGGTGTGTGCTCAAAAAATTTTAAATTATGTGGTGTATTGATCAGTAAAATGCTTGGAAACCACTGGATCAGTTACTTTGAGGATTCTACTTCTCAGATTCTCATGTCTGTTTCATCCTATTTAGATAAGTTTCTTCTCATCATTCAAATTTTAGCTCAATGTCAACTTCTCCAAGAGGGCTTCTCTGACTCTCCCATTAAAGGTAGATTCCACCACCCAAGTCACTATCCTGTTATCTTATACAAGACCCACCAAGATCTGAAATTATTTATTATCTTTCTCCTCTAGAATATAAACTCCATGAGGGAAAGAACTTCACCTTCTTTTCCCATCACCCGGAATCCCTAGTGTTTACAATACTACTTGGCTTTACTGGAGGTGCTTAAAAATTCTTGCTCCATGAATGAATGAGATGGACTTTTGTGGGTTACATGAAGAATTGGTCCTAATATTTTGCATCTTTTTACTTTGCATCTACATAAGGAAGCAAGACATTTTGCTTGCATCATTTTGACATGTTCTTTTCTCTTTGCTCCACTGAGAATACGGACCCTTAGTAAACAATATGCAGCGTCATCAGAAGTATGGAGAAGAACGGGGTTAATAACACGTCAGTCCTGGGGAATAGAGCAGTCCTGGAATGTGCAAGGGGAATTGCTCCTATTGTTTTCATAAGTTAGTTTAGAAACAAATACAAGTTATCAGTCTTTTATCTAATAATGAGTTTTACTAGTATAAATAATTCTCAGAGAATAAAATGGACGAAGGCCATTATAAAAGGTTAGGGTTTGTAAACGGTAAGGCCGAAATGTGCAAATTTGGGTCTGTGAAAGGGTGCCCGGTAGAGCTAATGGCCACAACAGAAACCTCACATTGGTAAAAGCAAGAATTGGTAAAATTTGTTATAGATAAAAACTGAATAGTGATTCAATTTTTATTGTAAAGTTTATGGAAAACACTGATCTTGAGTAAAATAATTTTAGTTAACATAAAAAGAGGATAATTTGAAAGTTTCAAATGTCATTTGCATTAAACAGATCAAGAAATTAAAAGGGATCAATAGGCATTCACTTCAGGAAATTTTTTAAAAGAAAAATCCATTATTGGCAACAGAATTATTATCAAAAGCTTTATATTAATATACAAAAGGTAGACAAAGTTTTGTGGGTTAAAACTATAGTCTCAAAGATTCCACTAGGTCCAGCCTATATATGTCAGCCTTCGAAGATATCTGGGTGAATGGAAACGACTCTCTAAAACTGGATATCATATCATAAGCATGCGGATTTGCTCTTTTCCCTTCCTGCTTTACTCACCTCCAAAGTAAATGTCATTTGCTGGGGGACAAATCATCCTCCATCAGCTCCATCTGTACACGTGGTTTATCTGCTATGGGGATGACCTTTCATCATTTGGAATATGATCAGAGGAGCGGCATTTGGCTAGCTCCTTCGAAAGGGCCTAATGTCATCCCATCACTGGAGAAAGCTCACAAATCCTGTTGTACATATGAGCTCTCTGCTTTTCAGGGAAGGAAAACACATTGAACTGAAGAGCTCTGCATCCTCCCCTTTGAGAGACAAGGAAACTGAGGACAGGCACTGAGGGAGTGAACTTTCACAGTTCATTATTTAGGGTCACACTCAACTTATTAGCAGATCTGGGACTAGAACCTAAATCTAAATCTTCCATCCCACTACTCTACAATGTGAGCAACCCCGGGTTGGTACATCTCAGAGGTTCACACCAGACTGTGGGTTCTGACATACCGAATATTAATGTTGAAAATACCTACTTTCTGAAGTGGGAAGAACTGCTTATATTAATGTCTTTAAAGGCATTACAAATAATGTACTTAAAAAAATTAAGAATCCATACATGCAGTTCTTTCCTGTGCACATATGTCAACTTATTGACCCGAGAGGACCCAGTCGGCATTTCCAGGGATTCAGGGATTTTCCAGGGATTTAGTCTAGTATACCAGAAATACAGATATTGAAATAAATGGCATAAATTATCAAAAGGCGAGTACCAAAGAAAACAATGGCAAAAATAAATACTACACTGTACAAATTAGGCAAGACATGCAGAAGACTACAACTTGAAAGAGGCAGTGCTGGGGTGTGGAGGGGGTGGATTTCTGAGTTGGACAGCCTTGGGTCTCATCCTCGCTCTGCTGCCTTGAGCTGTGTGTCTACACTCAAACTCTCTCTACACCTCAATTCCTCTAGCTGTAAAACGGGGCAATAATGCCTGGTCCTGAAAGAATTTTAGTGACGTGGCGCAAGTTTCAATTTCAGATGCTTCCTTCTGTGTCCAGATTTAGCTACAACCAGAGGGATTTCAGTTAGGGTTGACATGGTTCAGTGGAGTCTCACTTCCTCCTCTGAATAAGTCTCTAGTTTCCTTCAAAACTTGAAGCCACTTCCAATGTGTCCTCTTTTTTAAACAAAATGGCAATCATAAACACCTCACAGGGTTGGGATGCTGAAATAAGATAAACTTTATAAACTACTTAGGACAACAGATGTTCAACAAGTGGCAAATAAGAATGATTATGAAGCTTCTCACATACGTCAACAATGAATCCTCCATAAAATCTGTCTGTTTTAAAACTAAATCTAGATTTGGAGATTCCTAGGACTAAGTCAAGTTAAGTTCCTTACTGGACTATAGCGTCTATATCTTTCCACCCCTATAACACCCACCTCTGTAAATCAGGGGACAAAGACAGGTGGCTGATAATCAAGGAAATGTGGGACTAGCTTCTGCTAGGCCTTGGGAAAGCCCAAGGGCCGTGTTACTTACCGCTGCCCACCACCAGGCGTGGGGGATGCTGGTGAAGTTGGTGCCGGGCATGTCGTGCTCCACGGAGTAGGCAGCCGCGGAGAAGGCGAAGATGCCCATGGTGATGAAGAGCAGCAGGCAGCCCACCTGCTGGTAGCACTGGCGCAGCGTGAAGCCGAAGGCGCGCAGCCCGGTGGAGTGGCGCGCTAGCTTGAGGATACGGAGGATGCGCATGAGGCGCATGATGCGCAGGACCTGGCCCACCTTGCCCACGCGGCCCACGGTCTCCAGGTCGTGCTCCAGAGGTGAGCCCTTTCCGTGCTGTTGGTCTTCGCTGGTGAAGCACTCAAGCAGCAGCTGCAGGTAGAGCGGCAGGATGGCCACGAGGTCCACCAGGTTGAGGGCGCTGCGCGCAAAGCGCCGCAGGTCGGGCGTGGAGGCGAGGCGCAGCAGGAACTCCAGCGTGAAGAAGGCGATGCACAGCATCTCCACGTGCTCCAGGATGGGCCTCGGGTCGCTGCCGCCCGCTCCCTGCTCCGTGTGTTGATGCATCTCCTCCACCGTGTTGAGCGCCAGCGCTACGACGGAGACAAGCACGAAGAGGCTGGAGGCCACCCCGATGACCTTGGCGGCCACTGACGAGAAGGGCTTCTCCAGAAGGTTCCAGAGGCAGCGCCGCTGCGGTCCGTAGAAGCGCATGTCTCGGAAGAGCTCCTCGGCCTCCTCAGCCTGCGCCTGGGCGCGCAGCTCGCGCTGGATCTTGAGCTGCTCGCTGAGCTCGTCGCGCCGCTCCTCGAAGCAGATGCGGCAGCAGCGCGGCGTGTACTTGAGTCGCACGCCCCAGTAGCCCAGCTCCTCCAGGAAGCTGCGCGGGCACAGCTCGTCGCGCACCATTAGCACGCCTGACAAGTAGAAGTTGTAAACGAGCTGGAACACGGCTGGGTCGCGGTCGAAGAAGTACTCGTCTGTCTGCGCCTCGTAGTCATCACACAGGGCCAGCTGGCGGCTGCGGCTGGTGGAGGTGGCCAGGCGGCCCAGGCGCGTCTTGGGGTAGCAGGCCAGCTCAGTGTAGTCCAGGCGGTAGCTGAGGCCACCTACGTTCACTTTCAGCGTGGACGACACGGCCGGAGAGTCCGGGCAGCCTTCGGACTGGGCGGTGGTGGCCGCCTCTGGCTGCTGGTCCGCCTCGGGCAGGTCGTCCTTCAACTCATCCTCCTCTTCCCCATCCTCGTCCTCCTCGATGTAGTAGTTGTAGTTGCCCTCGGTCCAGGCTGGGATGCTGGCCTGGGAGCCGGAACGGCCTCCCACGGAGCAGATGCTCCTGCGGTGTTGGCTGCCCCCTGCCTGGGACGCGTCCTGGCTCTCCGTAGTATTCCAGGGCTTGTAGCTCCAAGACCGCCTCCTCTCGCTCTGTTTCAGCATGGCTGCGGGAAGTGGACCCCTGCTTGTCCTTCCTGGCTGTTGTAGGGTGCCTAGCCTGCTTACCGACCTTAGGAGGATGGATCACGTCTTAGAGAGACCGGTCTGGACCAGCAGACCTAAGGTCTGGGCATTGTCCTCAGAGCTGCCCCTCCTTGGGCCCGGGGCAGCCCAGCCCAGCCTTCCGGGACTGAACACACGCAGACGGCGGTCGACTGCTCTAATCTTGCTGATAGGGAAGAAGCAAGTGTTAAGGAGGGATTTAGAGCCTCTTAGTCTGTCCTCCCACCCCTCCTGCCCACCATCTGTGACGTAGAGGATGATTATGTGGCCTCCAATCTGTAGATAATCCCAAAGTGGCAGAGATTATTGCTAATAAAAGCATTGGCCAACCCTGCCTTTAGAAAGTGCTTGGTGTACTGTGCTGAGATGAAATCAACTGTTAGCTATAGAGTATGGATGCCTGTGTCTTGACCGTTAACTGTTGAAACTGCAGCTTCTGCCCTAGGTAAACCCATCATTAACAGGGACAGAAATAGCAACAGAAGGCTTAAAGCGGACTTCATGACAAGTCAGTTTTCCTCTCAGCATACCTCTTTGTTTAAGTTATATGAGATGTCAAATGATCGCCTTCCCATCCGTTCACGTGGTCACACTTTTTTTTTCATATGTATTCTCCTTGGCGGCACTGCTCTGAGTCCCGTCTGATCTTTAAGTCAGTCTCAGTTTCTCTCTGCCTCTCTCCGTCTCTGTCTCTCTGTCCCTTCCTTCTCTTAAAGGATGAAGACATGTTTCAAGGTAGAATCCCGGGGCTGGTGGGTGGATGTCCTTAGGGCCTTGTAGCCCTGCTCAGCTGGTGTATTAGGCCATAGATAAAGGTGGCCAGACTTCCTTCCAAGGAAAAGGTTCTCACCACTCTTCAAGATGTGACTTTTTCTTTTTAAGTCTCTTTCCACGTGTAAGGCACTGTGCTAGGTGCTGGAGGTGGAAGCTTCCTAGAGACACCATTGCAGCCCTCAAGTTGCTCGTGGTTTTGTAGGCGACATAAATATTCAAGCACAACAAAAAAGTGAGTAAAAAATACAGAGGTAGCAGAGAAGAGGAAGCGATTTACTCTGAGCCAGGAATTTATTATTAAATTCAATTTATTTTGAATAGCAATACATGTTGATGACAAAAATTCAAAAGGTACAAAGGTGCATTATAGTAGAAAGTTTGTCTTTCTCCCAACCCAGACTTGCAGCTATTGGGTGTGCCTCTGAGGAGGCAACCACTGTTAGTACTTTTTGGTTGCTCTTCCAGAAATATTCTAAACATATACAATCAGAACGCATCTCCATCTATCAGCGGAATAGCTCTCTATCATTAACACAAATCATAGTGTGCTATACACTTTGTTTTTTTTCCAATTAAGCGTATATCGTAGAGGTGTTTTCATATCTGAACATAAATATCTGCCTCATGTTGAAAATAGCCGCCTAGTAGTCTGAGAGTGGTCAACATTCAGGTTTTTTCTGTCTTGGTTCTTGTAAACAATGGTGCAGTGGATAACAGACATACATTACTTTACGTATGTTAAGATATAGGAAGGATAATTTGATAGAGGTGGAATTGCTCAAAGAATGCACATTTGCAATTTTGATTGATAATGTCAAATTTCCCTCATAAAAGTTTTACTAATTTACAACTCACCATCAGTGTATGAGTGTATTATCACACTTCTTGAGCTCTGCCCATTTTGTAGGTGAAAAATGATACGTGGCTTAATTTTAATTTGCATTTCTCTTATTCTGAATGCAGTTGAGCATGTTTGCTTGTGATTAAGAGCTGATGTGTTTCTCTTTCTCCTTTCCATTGAATTGATTTGCAGGAGAGCTTTATATATTATGAAAACAGACCCTTTGCGTGTGATATAAATTCCAAGTATTTTTTTCTGAGCTTGTCTTCTGTTGAGATTTTTCCCAGGTAAAAGATGGGTGTTATGTCATCTTAGAAAAGTCTTCTCCTTTCTGTAATTCTTAAAAATTTTTCTTCTTATAGTTTTGTCACATTTAAGGATTTCATCCATCAGGAATTGATTTTGATGTAAACAATGAAGTAGAGACCCAACTTTATTTTCCAGGTTTTTATCCAGCTGTCCCAGCACATTATTTGAGTAATTTGCCTTTCCCCCACTGATTTGTGTGCTATCTTTATCAGGTAGCTTAGTTTTAACTGTGCTTCAAAGTTGTTGGGACAGGTACCAGTTGCTCCAGGGTCTGCGCCTGCTCGTATAGCATTCGCTGATGTACTTTGGCTTCCAAGAGGCCTCGAACCTACAAGGTTAGGAAAAAGCCTCTCACCAGGCCTAGCCTTAGGTTCCTAAATATATTTCTATGTCCTCCTGCTGGCCTTGTTTCTCTAGCCATATACTTGCCCATTTTTGAATTCCATCTCTTCTCACCATTGTGCCTAGTACTGTCACGATAGTTTTCATGTGGTACAAAAATTCACTTTTTTTCTTCAGAATTGATTATTCTGATAGGAAGTAAAAATATCACTATTTTCATATTTTTAATTTCTTCCATTTCTATTGCAACCATATATTTATTACTTGTTATCTAAACTTTCAACACTTTCAAGGCTTTTGCACTTAAGAACAATAGAGTTAGTAATGTTTGTAAGGTGTCTCAAAATTAAGCATAAAACCACAAGCTGGGAGTGGATTGAGGACTATTGCCTTGAGGGACCACATTTAGGTGACTCTTCTGCCCTCAGTGTGTCTGTTGGTGTGGGCCTGTGGCTTGGATTTTGCTGTGATGTATATGTATGCAAGTGCCATGGTAGATGAGTTTTCATACATAGAAACACTTTGTAACAAACAGAACTGGCCAACCATGGAACGGGTTTCTTCTTAAAGTGGTGAGCTCCTTCTCCCTGAGTGCGCGTAAGGATGTGTAGGGCATGCTGCAGGGGGAGACCTGCACAACTGGGAAATTGGACTGGGTGATCTTTAGGTCTCCTTCTGCCTTAAAACCTCCAAGATCCTAAGGCTTTGCTTGATGTTCCATTTGTCTTGAACTCCCTTCTGCTCTTCTTCTCCCTATGTCCTTGTTCTTGAAAAGTCAGCTCAGACATCATCCTTCTCTTTCAGCAATCCTTCTCTGACGTCTCTCTGTGTTTCCCCAAGGTGGCTTAGCTGCCCCTTCTCAGTGTGCTTGTATTTGATAGCACATCCCACTAGCTTACAATACGAGGCACTTATTTTAATGAAGAGTAATTAAAATATTTTCCTATTATGAAAGTTATATGAATGCATTATCGAAAAACTAAAAAGTAGAGAGCAGAATACTAATAATCAATACAATAATAGCAGTAGCATGCCCAGACACTGTACTATGATCATGTTTACAACAACCTGTCACAGAGGTGCTGTAATTATTCCTGTTTTACAGATGAGGAAACTGAGATGCGGAGAAGTTAAGTGACTTGCCCAAGATTACACTGATAGTAACTGGTGGAGCTGGGTTTTGCTCCAGACTAACCATCATGCTATAAAATAGCATATATATAAAAACCACGTATAATCTCACTATCCAAAGACAGTCACTTTTTGTTTTTAAAGATTTTTATTTTTCCTTTTTCTCCCCAAAGCCCCCCAGTACATAGTTGTATATTTTAGTTGTGGGTCCTTCCAGTTATGGCATGTGAGACACCGCTTCAGCGTGGCCTCACGAGCAGTGCCATGTCCGCGCCCAGGATCCGAACCGGCAAAACCCTGGGCCACCAGAGCGGGGAGCACGCGAACTTCACCACTTGGCCACAGGGCCGGCCCCTGCAGTCACTATTAATATTTTAACTTGTCTCCTTCTATTTAATTATATATGTAATATACATTTAATATATTCTATACTAAATATTAATTTAATTTTTATATTGAATTGTAAATTTAATATATTATGTATAAAATATACATATATTTAATGTAGTTGTGATCATATGGGGTATAAAATTATGTGTCCTACCTTTTTCAACATTTTAACATATGGGCATTTTTGATATTTTAAAAAATACTTGGTAAGCATTATTTGAAATGGCTATAAAATATTCCACATTGTAGATGTGCCATCTATGGCTTAACCATATCTCTTTTATTGAAATAGATATTTTTCAATATTCCACTATTGTAAGTAATGGTGTGATCAAAGTCTTTATGTTTGAAAGTTTTGGGGGTTTTCTTTTTGCATTCTGGGTTATTCCTCCTGATAGTTTAGCCAGATTTTTTAGGCCATTCTCTTTTCATTCTGAGCCCTCCCATGTGCTGCTCCTTCTATTTAGAACTCTCTCCACACCACCCTGTCTCCTCTTCTCTCGCTGACTTCTGCTCATCGTTTCATAGCTGGAAGCCTAGCTCCTCTTTGCCTCTTCCCTGGGGTGGCCTTCCCACATCACCCGAGGCAGAATTCAGCTGCCCTCGCGCGTGCTTCTGGAACATCTTTACTTTGCCTGTCACAGCACTTCTCACAAAAGCTTATCTGCCTGTAAACAACACAGGACTGTAAGTTCCAGAAGGGCTGGACAAAGTCTGCTCTGTCCACTGTTTTCCCCAGGATTGAGCCTAGTGCCTGGCATATAGCAGGCAGTCCAAAATACCAGCTGAAAGACTGAAATATTTCATGCTTACTGCCAACTTGTTTTCCAATTTGCCTCACTTTCCACTCTTACCAGTAAAATATGGAAGTATGTCTTTCAAAGTAGTTTAGCTAGAGTATCATTACTATTATTGTTATTTGCCAATTTAGGTGACAATGGCATAACATTTTTGTTTTAACCAACTCTGTATTAGTTATTCATTTGTATGTTCCCTACTAGCCTCTAAAGTCATTGAGGGTAAAGAGAGTCTTGTCTCTGTGGCCCCAGCATCAAGCATAGTGTCCACTAGGTAGCAGATTAAAAATATATGTATATATATCGAAGGGAGGTGCAAGATCTCTCTGTATTAGTTCTTACAACCGCATGTGAATCTATAATTATCTGAAAAAACATTTATTGCTCTGTACTAACATAGCCCCAAGCTTCACTTTCAAGGGAAAGAAAACTAGTGAGTTTTGAGGAACAGTGGCTGGGAATTCCAGCTGCTTTTCTTGGTGACAGAGATTTCTAGGCAGCATGGTACGGTAGAAAGAACATTGGAATTAAGACAGACTCGATTTTGCATTCTGGTTTCAAAACTTTGCACAATTAACCTCTTTTCTTCTCAGTTTTCTCACCTGTAAAATGGGTTGCTGGAGGATTTCCTGTTAATCTAAAAAGAGAATGTCCCTCCGGTTATCTTCAGTTGGTCTGCCTATGCCTAAATCCTGGTGTATAGTTTTATCAAAAGATAATTATCTCCCCCTCATCCAGCCGTCTCCTACCCCAAGACCTGATTTTACA